AAAAAAGTGGCGTCTGCAGGTTACAGCAAGCACAGAAAACACTGTTCAGACATGATGTGCGCACAAAGATGAGTTAAAATAGCTGAAGTGTTTGTTAGGCAATAACTTCTCAGTGTTGTGTGTTTTGGCAGATGGAAGCCTCGCCGAGTCCACGCCTCTCCGTGATCGGATGGCCCTCTATCAAGCGGCCATCTCCAAACAGGAAGTCCCTCCCGCTTCAGTCAATGTGAGCTTTTTGTGGCTTAGTGGAAACTTTTATTAGAAATTTATAAACCAGAAATGAAAGTGAGATTGGTGGAGTATTCATGGTTAGTGAATTAACACAAATCAACCAGAGAATTAAAAAACGTGCCCTTAAAAGATCTGCATACCTTCACATTATAAAATAATTGGGTTAAGTTACAGAGGATGGACATTCACTGGCCTGAGCGAGCCCTGCTGTGAAAAACATGCTTCAGCTGTTATCTTTTGCTCAACGTGAAACAAGAAATGAATCATGCATGACCTTTGGGTGCATGACGCTTGTAACACGAGCCTATTTATTATTTAGACAGCGCAGTTAAGATTGCAGAATCACACTGCCCGCTGACAAAAAGCCACAGTATTTCCAAACAAACGGTGTAAATCGGTCTCTGTGGAGCCGAGCTGGGTTGTGAACTCTGTGTCATCACCACCACACCGATGTTCCTGAATTATTCCAGGCATGAATGAACACCAGTGGGGCAGAGCACTGGGGAATTTTGTATTTTCTGGGATGATTTTTGGAGACAAACTAGCTAATGGAGTTGAAACAAAATGACTCCTCACATGTGATCCCAGCAAAGATATTTGCATGATTAAGATGCACATGTAGTAATTGTGTTTTTATGGACCTACTTTTTCCTGGAGTTGTTGTTGCTGTTGACCAGCTGCATTATTGGTCAACAGGCAGTGACTTGTCTAGAAAAATCCCTGCTCTCTCTGATATCGGTTTAAACATCTGCTTTGTATACTTAAAAAATTACTTGGAGCCAAATGGTAAATATACCTAAGACACTGCAGTCCCACACAGTGTGCAGCATTGTGGATGCTCTGTTAACAATAACCCTACAGGTGATACCCAGTAGGTTTATCTCCTATGAAGCAGGCGATGCCGATGGCTTATATTCCGTTGTTAACTTTCCGCTCGTCCTTCTTGTTTCACTCAGGACGATGAGCTGGATGGTTTCAGTGGGAAGCAGAAGGAGAACGTCCCCCCGTGCACTCTGGACATGGTGAGAGTTTATAGCCTGAAGGTGTTTTTGTTCCAGTGCGTCAGTTTCAGCTCATCTCGACACGCATTTATCTAAACGTGTGTCAGTATGTGATGTTTTTCTTCACATCTCTTCTCC